TGTCTCAGCCTTTCCTACCTGTATTGATGTAGGTATTTTCTAGGTTCTCCGATGTGTAGGAGTTGCTCAGAGAGTTTCTGGATTTCCTTCAGAGAGAATTGTTCCATGTGTAGCTACAGATCCCATGTATCCATAGGAGGAGGTGAAATCAGGAGCCTCCTATGTTGCCATCTTGGCCCAGAACTCTCATTTTTTTTTCAATTGAGTATTTAATTATTTCCATTCTTTCATTTTTACTGATAGAAATATCTAGTGCTATGAATTGTCCTCTGATCGCTGCTTTAAGTGTATCCCATAGTTTTCATTATCTATTAAGTCCTTTAGCTGTAGTCTGTGCTCTGATCTACCATGGCTTTCTTTCTTTTTCTTTTTTTTTTTTTTTTTTAGTATTTTTAGACTTAGGATTCACTTGTCTTTTTGGTAACAGTTTTAGATCAACATTGTCATTAGGTTCCTTCTTCTCTCTCCTTTTCAGTTTTTCTCAGTCTGATTTTGCTTCAGAACAACTTGCATTGGGGCAGGAATGGGGTGGGAACATAAAGGGATCACACTCTGGGTTTTAGTGTTTTGTTTTTACTTATGGTTATTTTGAACGTGTCTACAGAGGTTACAGAAGCAAAGACTTGACCTGCAACTAATCTGAATCTTGATAGATGCTTTGTGATCCTCCCAGGGCACAGGAGGATGGGAGGTGTTGCTAAAAGGCCATGTCCTTCTTGCCCCTCTGTTTCCTCTGGGAGACTGTCATTGGGGCAGTTTCTCTATAGCTCACATATTTTGATGAAGTATGAGGCTTTCTGTCCCAGCTCCTCAAGGTATAGCTGCAGACTATAATACCACTTAGCCATCTTGCGGAATAGGCTCCTCAGCAACAGGCGTCCCATGACTCACATTGGAATCACCAGGCTTTTTGCTTCAGTATCATGTTTTCTGATGTCTGGAACAAGGACCATGAGGAACTAGCACCTGTATACAGTTCCTTTCACTGTTTACGTAAATGATAAAATCTAAAAAGGGCTCATTGGCCTTTACCAACCAAATCTGTTAGTCTTGGTCTGGCCTTGATCTTACCTTGCCTGCTGGGTGTGTTTGTACTTATTTACCACCTGTACATCCTCTTCAGTGAAATGTCCCTGCATGTCTGTTGTCCACTTTCTAATGGAATGTTTTAACTGTTGAGTTTTGAGAGTTCTTTATATATACTAGATACTAGTGCTTTGTCAGATACATGGCTTGTAAATATTTTATCCCAGCCTGTGGCTTATTTTTCATCCCTTTCCCGGTTTTTTTTGCAAAGCAAAAGTCTCTTGGGTTTTTTAAAATTAATATAATTTATTTTTTATAACAGCTTTAGGTTTACAGAAAAATGTCACAAAAAGTACATAAAATTCCCATACAGCTCCACAGTCCCCACTCCAATATGCAGTTTCTCCCGTTATAAATATGTTGCCTTAGTGTGGTACACTTGTTACAAGTTGTGAACCTCCCAACCCCTGCTAACACTTATCTTTTTACTGTCTCTACATTTTGCCTCTTCCATAATGTCACATAGTTGAGATTACATAGTACATAACCTTTCCACACCAGCTTCTTTCATTTAGCAATATGCATTTAAGCTCCCTCCATCTCTTTGTGTGGCTTGAAACCCACTTCTTTTTATCTCAGAATAATATTCCATTGTATGGCTGTACCACAGTTTGTTTATCCATTCACCTAATGAGGGACATCTTGATTGCTTCCAGTTTTTAGTAATTATGAATACAGTTGCTATAAACATTCATGGTCAGGTTTTTGTGTGGACATTTGGGTAACCACCTAGGAGTGTGACTGCTGGATCATATGGTAAGAGTATGTTTAGCTTTGTAAGCAGCTGTCAGTCTTCCAAAGCAGCTGTACCATTTTCCATTCCCACCAGCAAAGAATGAGAGTTCCTGTTGTTTTACATGCTTGCCAGCATTTGGTGTTGCCAGTATTTTTGGGTTTTAGGCATTCTAAGAGGTGTGTAGTGCTATCTCATTTTAATTTACAATTCCCTACATAATGCTGAGCATTGCAATGGTCTAAATGTTTGTGCTCCCCCCCCCAATTCATATGTTGAAATCCTAACCCCCCAAAGGTAATGGTATTAGCAGGTGAGGCCTTTGGAGGTGATTAGGTCATAATGGTGAAGCCTTAATGAATGAGATTAGTGCTCTTATAAGAGCTCCCACAGAGCTCCCTAGGCCCTTCTGCCATGATACAACCAGAAGTCTATGACCCAGAAAGGGCCTCTACTTGGCGAGGCTGGCCCCCGATCTCAGACTTCCAGCCTCTTCCCTTTATAAGCTACCCAGTCTGTGCTATTTTGTTATAGCAACCCAAACGGACTGAAACAAGCATATTTTTCTATGCTTATTTGCCATCTGTATATCATCTTTGGTGAGGGGTCTGTTCACATCTTATCCCTATTTTTAACTGGGTTGTTTGTTTTCTTGAATTTTAAGAGTTCTTTGTATATATTGGATACAAGTCCTTATCAGATATGTGTTTATCAAATATTTTCTCCCAGTCTGTGGCTTGTCTTTTCATTCTCTGAACAGCGTCTTTCTCAGAGAAGAAATTTCTAACTTTAATGAAGTCCAACATATCAATTTTGTGTTGTTCTAAGAACTCATTTGCCAAACCCAATGTCATCTAGATTTTTCTTCTTTATCATGTTAATATGGTGGGCTACATTGATCAGTTTTCAAACAGTGGGCCAGGCTTGCATCCCTGGGATAAACCCCATTGGGTGATAGTGTATAATTTTTTTATATATTAGTGAATTCCATTTGTTAATGCTATGTTAATAATTTTCATGTCCATATTCATGAGGGATAGTGGTCTATAGTTTTCTTTTTTTGTATTGTCTTGTCTAGTTTTGGTATCAGGTAAAACTATAAATGAATACTATAAGTGAATTCTATAAATGAATTGAGAAGTTTCACTCTTCTACTTTTGGAAAAGATTGTGTACAATTGGTATTAATTTTTTTAAAAAGTATTTAGTAGACTTGTCTGGTGAAATCTTCTGGGCCTGGAGACTTCTTTTTTGGGAGTTTTTAAATTACAAACTCCATTTCCTCAATACTATAGGGCTATTCAAATTATCTACTCATATTGGGTGAGTTGTGATAGTTTGTATCTTTTGAGGAAGCATTCCATTTCATCTAAGTGGTCAAATTTATGTGTGCAGAGTTGTTTGTAGTATTCCCTTATTATCTTTTTGATGTCTACACGGTCTGTATTGATAGACTGTTTCATTCCTGATATTGGTAGTTAGTGTATTCTCTCTTTTCTTACTTTGTCAATCTTGCTAGAGATCTGTCAATTTTATTGCTTTTCAAAGAACCAGATTTTTATTTTATTGATTTTTCAACCGTTTCTCTATTTACAGTTCACTGACTTTTGCTCTTTATTATTTCCTTCCTTCTGCTTGCTTTGGGTTTATTTTGTTTCTTTTTCTAGGGTCTTGAGGTGGGAGCTGAGAGTCTTTTCTTCCTTTTCTAATTGTATTAACTTCCTATTGCTGCTGTAACAAATTACCAGAAATTTAGGTGCTTAAAAAAACATGAATTAATTGTCATACAGTTATGGAGGCTGAAATAAAGGTGCCAGCAGGCTTGCACTCCTTCTGGAGGCACAGAGAAGAATCCATTTCCTCCCCTTTTCCACATTCTGGAGACTGATTGTATTCCTTGGTTTCCAGCCCCTTCCTCCATCTTCAAAGCCAGCAGTCTAGCACCTTCTCTCCTCTCTGACCTCTACTTCCATTTTTACATTGCTCTCCTGGACTCTCATTTTTCTGTCTCCCTCCCAGAAAGACCCTTATGACTATATTGGGCCCACCCAGATAATCCAAGATAATTTCATCATTGAAAGACAGTTTAATCACATCTACAAAGTCCCTTTTACCATGTAAATCAACATAGTCACAAATCCCAGGGATCCGGAGGTGGGCATCTTTGGAGGGCTATAATTTATCCTACCACACTACATAGACATTAGTGCTTAAATTTCACTCTCATCACTGCTTTACCATGTCTCACAAATTTTGATATGTTGTATTTTCATTTTCACTCAATTAAATGCATTTTTAAATTTTCCCTTGAGACTTCCTCTTTGACACATGGATTATTTAAAAGTATATTTTTAGTTTCCAAGTGTTTGGAGATTTTCCTATTATCCTTCTGTTACTGATTTCTAGTTTGATTGCGTTTTGGTAGTAGAACACACTTCATATAATTTCAGTTCTTCGAAATTTCTTGTGGTTTGTTTTTTGGCCCAGGTTATGGTCTCTCTTGGGCACTTGAAAAGAATGTATATCCTGTTGTTGGGTGGAGTGTTCTCCAAATGTCAATTAGATCTGTTGGCTAATAGTGTTAAGTGCTTCGCTATCCTTGAAAGTTTTTTGTTTACTTGTTCTATCAAGTGTTGCTGGAGGGGTGTTGAAATCTCCAACTATAATTGTGGATTTGTCTGTTTCTCCTTTTGGATCTATCACTTCTTTTTGCTTCACATTATTTTTCAGATCCGTTGTTTGATGTACACACGTTTAGGATCACTACGTCTTCTTGGTGGATTGACCTTTTAATGACTATATAATGTCCTTCTCTGTCAATGGTAATTTTCTTTACTTTCTCTGATATTACTATAGCAACTCCTGCTTTCCTTTGCATGATATATCTTTTTCTATCCTTTTACTTTCAACCTCCATAATTTGAAGTGAGTTTCTTACAGACAGTATACAGTTGGATCATGATTTTTAATTCACTCTGCCAATCTCTGTCTTTTAACTGGTGCATATAGACCATGTACACAATGTAATTATTGATATATTAGGGCTTAAGTCTCCCATTTTTTGTTTTGTTTGTTCTCTCTGTTGTTCATTTCTCTTTAACTTTTTCCTGTCCTCCTGTGGATTCCTTTTACATTGTTTAGAATTGCATTTTGATTTCTCTATTGTGTTTTTTAGTGTGTCTCTTTGTACAGCTTTCATAGTGTTTGGTCTAGGTATTATATTACATAAACATATTTTCACAGTCTACTATTGTCACCGTTTTACAGCTGAGCAAGGGGAAAAGCTGTAACTCCTCCAAGTGAATAGTGTAAAAGCAGTCTAAGAAGACTTAGAGAATTTTGAGGGAAGGAGTAATAAATTTTGCTTTCCCTTTCATTTCCATTATGGAAACTGTGAGTGTCATCAATGATAATCTTTTCTAAGTTATAAATGTTTTCTGGGTATATCCTGGGAGATTTTCATTGTTGTTATTGCTGTTAAAAATAAAAGTACTACAATTTTTCCCAATTTAAAAATGGAAGAAAATTTATCCATGAACTATGCACAGAGTAAATAATGAACTGTGCACATAGTAATTAAAAAATTAATTTTCCTAACAACGCTTAAGCAACATCTGTGAATATCACTTAGGAAGAAGTAAATAAAGACTAAAATTGATTTTCCTGCATCCCATCAAGTTGCTTTGCAACTCTGTGGGATTTCAAAGGCATATTTTCACAGAATGTGAAGATATCATTGACTATATAATTAAAAACATCTTTGTAGCCAGGTGCACATTCCATGATTGAAGTGAGCCTTGGACAAGATTTAAATACCCTTGGTCATTCCTCTGAAGACAATCCATACTGACTACTGTAAGAGGTGCTGAGAAACCTCAGAGGCAAACTGCTCACTCGAAGATCTCTGTCTCTTTAAGACTACAAAAAGGGCCTTCTTCAAGTCTTTCATTGTTTCACTGGTTATACAATTGTACGGCATAGGGTAAAGTGCTGGGAGGCTTGAACCATGATGAAGCCCTGCACTGCCTTCAGTTGAGGTAGAAGATTCTTCACTCAAGGATAAGGTCTTTGTCAGGATACACACTTTCCCGGTGTAACCGCCAATTTTTGCCAGTTTCTGCTTTAAAGTTAAGGCAGTTTGTATAGAATAGCTTTTTAACCCCTCATCCAGTACCCTGAGGAAGGTATAGAGGACTGGTGGACAGTCCTTGGAAATTAGAAGAGCATCACAGATGACATTTTCGTTCTCTTGTAAGCCTAGATCCAAAGACCAGCTCCTAGAAAAGATCAATGTACCTTGATGAACAGAGCCCACTGCTTTATGTACTACCTGTGCAAGTCCTTCATGTTGTAAGAGTAGTTTCATGTAGAGAGCTTCTGGAACATATGTTGTCTTTTCTGATGGCACTAGATATGGAAATAATGATAATAAACTTTAAAACACTGAACAGCTTCCAATTCCAACCATGACAAAGTAGCTTGTACCAGACCAACCCTCCCACCAGAAGCAACATGAAATATTTAAAACAGTAATTTAAAGAACTGGAGAGCAACCAACACACTCAAGACTTGAAAGGTTACAATCTTTGATGGAGATGAAGCACAGGGAGAAGCTCCATACCCACCCGAGCTTTTTGCCCAAGGATATTTTTGATATTGGGTCGTGGGTGGATAGAGCCCAAGCAGAAATGAGCGGTTTTACTAGGCTGAGGAAAAAGAGCTGGGAATTCAGAGGAGCTGGAATTCAAGAGGGAAAATCTCAGAGAGGATGAAATTGCAGAGAAGCAGCCAAATTTCCCTCAACTTGTTGGCTAATACAGAGTGAGATGTTGGAAACTCAGAAGAAAATATCAACTGGGAGGCTAAAAAGCTGAATATAAGTGTCATCAACCTCATGGTGCCGGGGAGACTTAGACTGAGATTCAAGCTCCAGCAAAGTAGAGGGGCCTTGATAAACACCCCAGACTTTAAGCTGAGACTCCAGAAGAGCCATGACATAATAATAAGGAAAAAAAATGGAAAGATGTTATACCTAGGAAAAGCATAAAACAAATCTTCAAAAGAATCAAGGGGTAATCACTGAGTGCTCTATCTACCTCCCAGAACAAAGTATAATTCTCTTTGGAGGAGTGTAACATCTTCCACAGCCTCTATAATTAGTCATCGATGGTACAATAAAAAATTCAGTGATATTATAAAAAATCAGGACAAATTACTAAAAAAAAAAAGAGAAAATGGATAAGAACAAAAGACTGACAAGTGATTCAGATACTGAAGTTATCAAAAAGGGACTTAAAGAGCAAAATGGCAAGAATAGGAGGCTTCAGACTCTCCCTCCACCCATGGACACAATAAACCAACAGCTACACATGGATCAATTCCCTCTGAGAGAACTCTAGAAACTAGCTGAGAGACTCCTGCACAGTGGGTAACTGAGAAAATACCCACACTGAAATGGGCAGGAAAAGCTGAGACACACTCTTGCCATAAACCTTGCCCACAGCAGAGCACCATACAGTCAGGAGGAAACCCCCAATTCCAAGCTTCTCCCTGAGGAGCAAGGGTTTGGACCACCCATCTAGTACCCCATCTTTTATGACTGCTACCTGAGAGACTGGCTCCTAACTTGCCCATCTCTGGGAGCTGACAGGGTCTGGCATTTACTAGTCCCCTGGGACCACAGAGAACAAAGAGGCAGTTTTAAGTGGGCAAGGGAGCACTTGCCATGGCTCTTCCCCTGGCTCAGTGAAGAGTGAGCAGGCAAGAAAGCCCAGATCCCAGCTTCTCCCTGGAAGGGGTTAGACTGTACATCTAATGTCCCAACTTTTCCAGCTGCTGCCCAAGGAACTGGCTTCTTACTAGTCTACATCAGGGAGTGGATGGCACAGGCAATTAATAGTCTTCTGGGAGGCTGAACAAGTGTCTGGATACTTGCCATGGCTTCTCCCCTCGGTTTACTCCAGCAATAAAACTAAGCCTCCAACTTCTCCCTAGAAGGACTTTGACCATACATCTAGTGCTCCAACTTTTACAGCTGTTACCTGAAGGATGGGCTCCTAACTTGGCTAACTCTGCCAGCTCACGGGACCTGAGATTTGCTAGTTTCCTGGGCCCACAGAACAAAGAGGCAGTTTTAACAGGTGTGTGAGCACTTTCAATGGCTCTTCCCTCTGGCTCAACAGACAGCAGGTAGACAATAAAGCCCAGCTCCCAGCTCCTCTCTGGAAGAGGTTAGGCTGCACGTCTAGTGCCCTGACTTTCTACCTGCTGTCTGAGGGTCTGGCATTTTATTTGCCTGACTCTGGCAGCTGATGGGCAGGTAATCACTAGTCCATTGGGAATTTGAATGGGTGTTTGGGCACTTCTCATAGCTCTTTCCCCCCAGCCCATTTCAGTGATAAAACCATGCCTCCATCTTCTCCTAGAAGAAGTTGGACTGCACATCTAGTCCCCAAAACTTTCCAGTTGCTACCTGAGGGACTGACTTCTAACCCAGCTGTCTCTGAGAGCTGGAAGAACCTGGAACTCACTAGGTTCCCAGGGAAAACAGAGAGCAAAGCAACAGTTTGAAAAGCACACAGTCTGAGTGTACAGTTATTTGCCACAGTTCCTCTCTGGATCAAGGGCAAGTGGGTGATAAACTCAATTTCCCAACTTCTCCTTGAGGAGAGATGGAATTGGACTGCATATATAGTGCCCCAACTTTTCTGGCAGCAACGTGAGAAACAGGGTTCTATCTTGCCTGTCTCAAGACACCGATGGTGCTTGGCTTACTCTAGTCTTCTGGGGAACACTAAAAACAAGACAGCAGTGTGGGTGAGCCCAAAGCTTGGAGAGGCATCTAGACTCTCTGGCTGGACTCATTAGTAAGTTCATCTCCTATATGAGGCCATCTGTGAAGACTGGAAGAGGTGGCTGTTTTATCTAATGTGCAGAAGCCAACACACAGAGTCAAGGAAAAAGAAAAAAACAAGGAAATATGCCCCAAATAAAATAACAAGATTAGTCTCCAGAAGCCTTTCCCTAATGAAATGGAGATATATGATTTACTCAAAAGAGAATTCAAAATAATGGCCTTAAAGATGCTTGCTGAGGTCAGGACAGTAATGCATGAACAGAGAGAATTCTGACAAACAAACAGAAAATACTAGAAAGTACCAAACAGAAATCATAGAACTGAAGAATACAATAACTGAAGTGGAAAATTCAATAGAGAGATTCAACAGCAGACTAGATCAAGCAGAAGAAAGGATCAACAAGCTGGAAGACAGGTTACAGGAAATTATCCAGAGGTGTAAAAAGAAAAAGAATGAAAGGAACAGAAGTTAGCTTAAGGAACTTATGGGACACCATGAAATAGACTAGTATATGCATTATGGGAATCCCAGAAGGAGAAGAGAGAGAGAAAAGGGAAGAAAGCTTATGCAAAGAAATAATGGCTGAAAACTTCCTGAATTTGAGCAAAGAAAGAGACATCCAGATCTAGGAAGCTCAAAGGGCAACAGATAAGTTGAATCAAAAGAGACCCACACCAAAGGCCTGGCCAGTGGCGTAGCGGTTAAGTTTGTGTGCTCTGCTTGGGCAGCCTAGGCTTCGCTGGTTTGGATCCCAGGCATGGACCTATGCACTGCTTAGCAAGCCATGCTGTGGCAAGCATCCCACATGTAAAGTAGAGGGAGATGGGTGCAGATGTTAGCTCAGGATCAATCTTCCTCAGCGAAAAGGGGAGGATTGGGTGCGGATGTTAGCTCAGGGCTAATCTTCCTCAAAAAATAAAAAAGAGACCCACACCAAGATATGTTATAATCAAATTGTCAAAAGTTACAGACAAAAGGAGAATTTTGAAAGCAGTAAGAGAAAAGCCATCTGTTACATAAAAGGAAATGTCATTAGACTTTTGGTGGATTTTTCTTCAGAAACCTTGCAAGCCAGAGGAGTGTGGGATGATATATTTAAGATGTTGACAGAAAAAAACCTACCAACCAAGAATACTATACCCATAAAACCTGTCCTTCAAAAATTAAGGGGACAGAAAGACTTTCTTATACAAATAAAAGCTGAGGGAGTTCATCACTATTAGACCTGCTTTACAAGTAATGCTAAATTCAAGTTGAAAATAAAAGAGCCTAAACAGCAACACAAAAGCATATAAAAGTATAAAACTCTTTGGCAAAGGTAAACATATAGACAAAAATAGAATATCACATTACTGTAACGGTAGTGGATAAATCACTTTTAACTTAGTAAAGTTAAAAAACAAAAGCATTAAAAATAACTATGATTAAATTATGTTAATGGATACACGATATAAATAGATGTGAACTGTGACATCAACAGCATGTAATGTGGGGAGAGGAGAGGTAAAAGTGTAGAGTTTTTACATACAAGTGAAGTTAAGTTTTTATCAGCTTAAAATAGACTGTTATAACTATAAAATGTTTTATGTGAGGCCTACGGTAACAACAAAGAAAATACTTATAGAAGTTGCACAAAAAGAAAAAGAGACAGGAATCAAGTCCAACAATACAACCCCCCCCCACACACACACACATACACACACACAAGAAAACAGAAAGAGAAAAGGAAAAAAAAGAAAAAACAGAAAACAGTTAACAAAATGGCAATGATAAATCTTTCCCTACCAATAGTTACTTTGAATGAAAATGGTTTAATGTTCCCAATCAAAAAATACAGAGTAGCTGAATGGATTAAAAACCAAGATCCAACTACATACTGTCCATGAGAAACTCCCTTTAGATTCAAGGACACACATATGTTGAAAATGAAGAGATGGAAAAAGATATTCCATAATAATGGTACCTAAAAGAAAGCAGGACTGGTTATATCTCTATCAGATAAAACAGAATTAAAGTCTAAAACAGTCTTTAGAGACCAAGAAGGTCATTATACAATGATAAAACAGTCAATTCAACAGAAATATGTAGCAATTGTAAATATATATACACCCAACATCACCACACCTAAGTATTTAAAGCAAATATTGAGAGATCTGAGTGGAGAAACTGAAGGCAATAAATAACAGTATGAGACTTCAATATTCCATTCTGAATGATCTCATCCAGATTAAGGAAGCAGCATACTTGAACAACATTATAGACCAAATGAACTTAACAGACATATACGGAACTTCCCACCTGACAACAGAAGAATACACGTTCTTTTCAAGTACATATGGGACATCCTCCAGGAAAGATCACATGTTAAGTCAAAAGACAAGTCTTAACACATTTAAGAAGATCAAAATCATAGCAAGTATCTTTCTGACCAAAATGAAATTAAACTAGAAATCAGTAACAACAATAAAATGGGACGTTTCACAAATACTTGGAAACTAAACAACACACTATTGAACAACCATTGGGTCAAAGAAGAAATCAAAAGAGAATTTAAAAAATATCTCAAGACAAATGAA